TATTGATGGAGTGAATCAAAAGCTGCACCAGCGTTCATATTACACAACAAAAAACAGCTTCATGAGATTGTTTTTATATGAAGTCAAGCTGGGTTATACAGACAATTTTATAACAGTTATTTTCGACTAATCATATGCTTAATAATGTATCTATAAATTTTAATTCACCAAGGCACAGGGAGAGTGAATGTTCACTTAATGTTTTCTTTTTACATATAATTGAAATAATTTTGACAATAGTTTCAATTTTTCGGAAACCAAGTGAGAAAATCATATGAAATCAATTATTTCAATATAATAATGTATCTATAAATTTCAATTTACCAAGGCACAGGGAGAGTGAATGTTCACTTAATGTTTTCTTTTTACATATAATTGAAATAATTTTGACAATAGTTTCAATTTTTCGGAAACCAAGTGAGAAAATCATATGAAATCAATTATTTCAATATAATAATGTATCTATAAATTTTAATTTACCAAGGCACAGGGAGAGTGAATGTTCACTTAATGTTTTCTTTTTACATATATATACGCAGTTGTCTCCGCTAAAGTATATTTTTTCAAGCTCAACCGACAGCTCACAATTGAAAAAAGTAAATCAATTCAATCAAAATCGTTGAATTAAAATAACTATTTTGAGGTTTCCACTATCGAGTATAAGCCACCCTGTATATATTTAGTTGGCACTCCTAGAATAATCTTGATTCTCTACTCTTGCTGTATCTCAAAAATCCTAGACGACCGAGTATTTTTGAAAACAAATTTCGCAAATTTTTGCCTAAATTCACATATTTGAACATCCCAGAACGAAAGTTCGAACCAGGAGCTTGGGGTGTCAATCCCAAAAAAGTTTCCTACAAAAAGTCATATTATGAGGTCATCTGGTTTTATACTGGGTGTCCTCGCGTACAATCCCCCGTATTCACCAGATCTCTTCTTTACTGGCGAAGCTGTACCCAGCGGCGGCTAGATCTTGTCGAGTCACGGTTTGTCAGTGCGGTCACGTGGTAATATCGTTATTATTATACACGGTGCAGCCGGTGCAGAGATATCTCTGGCACGCCTCTCTTATCTTTCTTCTCCGGTTCTCCGACATGTTCCTATCATTATTATTATTGCTGTATAGGCCTGCATTGGTGGGAGGTATGTCTCGGATGCCAGCAAGGAAAAATCTTTGTTCTATCATTGTTTATCAGGTAGTCAGACGAATTCCCACCTAAATCAACTCTGGTAGCTGATTCCGCGGGATGATAATAACGCACTGCTTTATACAGTGCGTCCATCATGAACTTTTGCACATATTTCTCTAGGCGATATCAAGTCACACACTTTCATGATCATAACAACTAAGTATTTGAAGAGAGAGGTTTATTTTGCTCATATCCTCTATGGGAAATAGATCAAATTCTATGGAAACCTTTAGAACCACTGATGCCAAATAGACAATTTAATAGGATCATGCAGATAAGGTATTTTTTCTGCAACCGACACAAAAGTCGTCCATTTTGGTACCAAAATTAGCTCTTAAATTGACGTTTCTATTACTGACACAAAAATAGGTATGTTGCTAGGCAACATATTTAGTTCCTAGGAGCTAAAGTTGAATTTTAGTTCCTAGGAGCTGAAGTTGAACTTTAGCTCCTAGGAACTAAAAAGGATGTACTGGATGTCATCAAGAATAAACAACATTGTGACGGTTGGTTATTTGGGTTGAGATGCATACCTGATTTGTTTCCGATTTCAGCAGATTTCGCATTTCATACCCATGCTGGAGATATAAATACACCTTATTATAGTTTAGTATTGGAATTATGAACATATCAGTTAAGTATTTTTGTTTTGATCAGGGAAGCCTTCAAGATTCAAATACTTGCTTGATCTGTATTTCATTCGTTATTCTCGGGATGGATAACTTGTTTTTGAATAATCACGGCAAGCAATAGTTTTTTTGTCTCAAACAACGATATTGTTTTGCTTCATTTGATTATCAAGTCAAACACAGATGGACAGGAATAAACTCGGGAATAAATAATCACTATTATCATTGTTGATCACTAACCTAACATTTTCCACGTCTTGTTCCTATAGCTGGCACTGGCGCGGTATTTGCCATTAGAGCACCTGGTCCATACACAAATATGTCACTCTGTGGTTGTATTTATATTGAAACTACAATTCGAACATCCTAGAAAACCTAACCTGCTGTTAATGCAGGTAGAATATTCTCACCACACGGATTATTTGTCAATATTTGTTGCATTGCATACATATGGCACGGCATTGTTGGTTACTTCACATGTTTATATGAGTTAATTGTTTCGGTTGCAGAAAAAATAGCATGTTTCATTCGGATCAGAAGTGACTTCGTTCGACTCGCAAATCTTGCTTTCGCTCGGCTTCGCTAAACGCTCCGCCTCACAAATGCAAAATTCGCATTCCTAATAAAACAATCTACTATTTTTCTCCAAGCGGTATAGAAATAGGCTTTTTTCTACGGCTATAACACAAAATTGCTCTTGTTTTACTGTGTTCGATACATCAAAGAGGTACTTTGTTTGTCATCAATTTTATTTCCGTATATATCTGATATCACATTGACTCCATTGTGATATTATTTCAGAAAAATCTCATCGCCCAAATTTCAAGCAATAACAGCTCTGTCTAATAGATGAGCATTACTTGACAGGAAATCAGATGGCTTCAAGACGAAGAGATCGAAAATACCGCTGTTATCTATCATAGCCGTAGGAAAATTATGGTGTATAACTTGCACGAATGCTAATTTCCTACTTGAATGATTGCAGCATGAGCCATAGGTGAATGCTACCAATTTCATTCTCGTAGGAAATCACTATCATTCCATGCCCCTTAAACAATATACTATTCTCTGACACGTTGCACTGAAAAAAAAAGATGGTAGTTATTACCAAACGTTTAGTTAAATAGGCGCCAGTCACAACTTTCATCAAATAATACCACTACAACACTATACAGGGTGTTTCCTCACTATGGTTCCTAACTGCAGGTGGTGATTCGTTAGGTCATTTTAGAAAGAAAAGTTCCTATTAACATATGTCCGGAGTTGCTTCGTTTCTGAGATACAGGGCGTTGAAATTAAAGAAAAAAACCGGTAATTATAAAATATCATGAATATCCTAGAACCGATTTGGTTGAGATTTGGTACTTTCATTTGAACTGATAAGGCGCTTATTTAGCCTTATTTAGATTCAAATTATTGGGGCCAGTGGCGTCTCAGTGGGCATCACAGCCAACAATATTGTGAAAAAAAGTACGCCACTGACTTTTTTTGGTAAATTTTCATTTTGTTTAGATGGAACAACTCAAAATTCAACTTTTTGGTCTCTTGCATTTTCTTCATATCCAGCTTCGTTTTCGAGAAAAAAAATCAAAGCCACTGTATTGCATATCATGAACACCTGCATTGGAGAAATGAGTTTTTCATTATTTCCGCCAAAAATTCAATTGACACTTGATATGCTGAAATTTTAAAAAATTTTACAAATAGAAGTACCAAATGTCAATCAAATCGGTTCTAGGATATTCATGATATTTTATAACTACCATTTTTTTTTCTTTAATTTCAACGCCCTGTATCTCAGAAACGAAGCTACTACTGACATATGTTCATAGGAACTTTTCTTCTCGAAATTACCCAACAAATCACCCCCCGCAGTTAGGAACCGTAGTTAGGAAACACCCTGTATAATACCAAACTATGAGTATCATACTATTTTGTAGTGATATTATATAATGTTGTAGTGGTATCATTTGATGAAAGTTGTGACTGGTGCCTATTTCACTGAACGTTTGGTAATTACTACCATCTTTTTTTTTCAGTGTGTCATTGCTTGAAATTTGACATTTCATGGAAGATGACATTTATTGAAAAATGATAACACAATGAAGTCATTGTATTATCGAAAACAGTACAACAAGATCAATATTATGTTATATAGCAGTATATAGCTGTAGACAAAACAATTAACAACTTGTATTCTTCAATGCCATTCCGTTTGTTGAGTCACTGCCAGTTTCGCCGAAAAGAAACAACAAAATCGTCCGCCATCTAGAATTTTTCATTACATCTCAATCGAAAGCATCAGACTGTTTCGATACAGGAGCCAACCAATTCTCAAGTAAATTTCACCGTGGAAAATTAGATATCCTATGAATGATAGAGGTTCCATAGGTTTGATGATGGCATTGTAGAAACTAAAGTGATCTAGAAAATACTCTTTTCCATGATTTAGTTCGATTTATGAGTAGTAGTTGACTGACTTTGTGTTCCTTTTGATTTGTGTTATTGATATAGCTATATATAGTTGTTTTAGAATCCGCTTAGTGAAAATACCGGAAAATACTAATGGATTGTTTTCTTTTGAGAATTCCAAAATCCTATCTGTATAATTCCACATGAACTCATGAAGAAGAATAATAATAATGAATGAAAAAGCGTCCAAAATCCTATCTGTATAATTCCACATGAACTTATGAAGAAGAATAATAATAATTAATGAAAAAGCGTCGTTGTCAATGTATACACCCTGTACGTACTTCAGCGAGAATAACGGTGATGTTGCATGGTCGGAAAGAGAGATAACACGTTGTTTTGTTGTCCGACATTTATCAAAATAGATCCGAGAGAGGGATTCAACATGGGCAACACGTTTCGACCGTTTTTATTCTCCATATCTGATATTCCAGCGGTGTTCTGCGAGATACCTACTGATATCAATTTTTCTTCGCGATACTGTCTGCCATCATTTGTTTCACACGAGAAAATATTAGCGCAGAAAAATAGGTTTCCATAACAGAGAGCGAAGGAAAAAGCACCTCAGTGATAAATTGAACAAAGTTGAGAAGGACTTGAACTACGATGAATTCCATTATATTTGAATATTATCATACTGTGAGCGTACCAAATCCTTTTCAACCCTTCCATCTTTCATTCTCCCTAAAACCACTTTTCCATCCAATCAACTTCTCAGGAAACTTTCCCTTATGGAGTAGTTCAAACCTCGACAATCGAATGATTCTTCGGCCCTTTTCATCTCCCTCAAAATCCCCTCCTTCAAACAACCATTTTTTATAATCTCGCACCTTCCTAAATTATTTCCTACACCACCAACGCAACCCGAGGGATATATCTCTTCAAAAGTATGGTGTACACTTCACTGGATGTCAATGGAGGTCACTAGTATAGTCAGTGGAAACCACTGGAAACCATAGGAAGTCATTGATAGTCATTGATATTCACTGATAGTCAGTGGTAGTCACTGAAAATCTATGGTAGGTAGTCACTGGGGGTCTGATGTACACATTGTTCCTGGAGATAAACCGTTTGAGGTGAATGTCTCTGAAAGCCTAGTGTTAAGTCCACTGGGATTCAATGGAAGTCAATGGAAGTTTTTGGGGAAATCTTTATTCACTGGAAGCTTGGTGTTTTCAGAACAATCAAGTTTCTGTGTTCCGCGACAGTTGAGTGTTCTGACAGTCGATCATGACTTTATCCACGGCTTTTTCCCGTGATAGCGTTCTCCAGCCAAGTGAAGTAGCACTTGAAGCTCTCGAGTCTCGAATGATTTGTTTCTGTTTCAGAGATTACATGAGATTATATACCATGCTGAGAGAGGTGTAGGGTCTTCATTCTCCCGGTGCTGGGACAATAAGTAAATATCATTCAATGGCAGATCCTTAAAGATAAACCACTTGATCAATCATCCGCAAAACATAGCCAAACATCAACTCAGTACTAGTCCTCAACAAAACTTCAGATCAGGACACCGCTTTCAACCTAGCAAGGAACTTGCACTGAAATCTTCAAGAAACTTCCGCAAAGGCTTCATCAGAAGTACCTATAGGGTTGAAAGTCTAAAAGGATTAGATCGATTTTTAGAAAAATACAATTAACTCGGCCCCTCTGGAATTGTTTTAATAGATATATTTCAATTAAAAATTGGCCAAATTCATTCATATTATTATGTGATTCGGTATGGTGAATATTGATTTTCAGACCTTTGCTGAAGGCTTAAGGACGTGCCATCAGTTAGGTGACAAACATTGTTTCAATCACACAAGATGAATTTACACCCATTCATTTCAGAGATCAAAATAACCACGAATGGTCTGAGTTGTTACCATATGGTATCTCTTCTGGAAGAGCGAATAAATCGATGGGACACATTTCTTCCAATTTAAGAGATAAGAATATTCTTTATCTGAAAAGAAACACAACAAAATTACCATTTGCCTTGTTTCCATGAGGCAAGACCACTAACATTTTGCCGAGGAATAAAAATATTCTTTGGCGGAATTTCTATTTTCCTACTGTTCTGACATTTTCCAATGAGTTTTTCACTAGTTTGCGAAAGAAAACTCGAAATACACGCGAAAAACAATAATGAAACAGTTGATAAGCAAAGGCTGTAGGCTGTAGGTAGGTATTTTCTTCATTCACCAGTTCTGGGACAATAAGTGAATGTCATTTAATGGTATATCTTCAGAGATCAACCACTCGATCAACCATCCGCACAACAAAGTCAACGATCTACTCATCTTTAGCAAAGCATCAGATCAGGACACTGCTTTCAACCTAGCAAGAAACTTGCACTAAACCCTTCAAGAACCTCCCCCATAGGCTTCATTTGAAGTATAGGGTTGGAAATCTCAGGATTAGAAAGAGGCAGTGCTCGATCAATTTTTAACCTTCTTATTCAGATCGCATTGTCGCAACTCAGATGTTGACCCTCCTATAGGTTGTAACTTAGCTACTCGCTTGGCTTTTTGACGAGAGGTTTTGATCATTTCACCATTCATCTTCAGATAAAGAGAATTGTTTTTCAAAAGTACACAAACAATTATTTCAATCACGAAAACATAAAAATGTGCCAAAAAGGCGGAACATCAAAGAACATTCATGAAACGAGCGAACAACAGAAAGAAGATGATGGTTCTTGGTACTTACATTATGTTGTGAATGTTATGTACTGATGTCAATATAATAATTGGTAGTGATGATTCGAATAACGATTCAACTAATAATGCCCATGCCTTATCGATTTGAGTTGTATTTATATTTGAAAGCGATGTTAGATTTGCAATTTTCCGCAATTGAAATGGCCGTTACTTGGCGTTATTGCTCACCTGGGTAGTTTCGCATGGTAAGCGGTTTTTGCAAATTTTACAGGAACTGAAGTCTATGAACTCTGCTGACCTTATCGAAACTACATTGTACTGGATGTTATTATTTGGAAAAGTTAATTTATGATGAAAGATCTTGATTGATTTGCACTTGCAGTCAAACCAACAACTCCTCTCACCTTATTTTAGCGATCTTCACTATCGTCCTCTGCGGACTCTTGAAGACGCTGCCGCCAGCTTCAGCCTTCCTCACCGGCAAAGGGCTGCACACGTAATAGTCCGAGCTCTTCATCGAGCTGTTGCTCCCAAAGCTGCGCTGCCCCACGCTCCGGAATCCCGGATGCGGCAGAGTGTTGAAGTTGAAGTTGCCCGCGCATCCGGAAGGAAGTTGCTTCTCCGAGTGGTCGGAATGCCTACGCTCTGGTGCGTTGTACCCGCAAAGGAACTCCTTGATTTCTTCGTTCTCGTCGATGTCGGACATGTAGTGGTCGTTGTAGAAGACGCTTTGGTACTCGGGAGACGCTTCCTCGTAGCTGAGGGCCTTGGCCAAGGTGTGGACCTCTTCGAGCTCGTGGGATATTACCGAGTCTCTCGACAGATACCTACGAGAGCGTAGAAAGGCCGTTGTTGTGTGTATTTCATTTTATTTCTTCATTCAGACTTTCTTATTCTAAATTCGGACCTTTATTGTGCCTGAATTCAGACTTTTAGAAATTTTCTTTCGTTCGCTCTAAGAGATGATTAAAAAAGATAATATTTGAATTCGTACATTATTTCTCTGAATTCAGACTTTGTTCTCTGAATACAGACTGTTCTCTCCGGATTCGGTCTTATTTCCTCTGAATTTAGAGTTGAGTCCCTGAAATTCAGACTTTTTCCTCTAAATTCATAATACATGGTGGTACTACATTGAATATTGCTCAAAATTTGTTGTATGCATATTTTCAGACAATACAATCTTGGATTATAAAAATCCACACCTATTCACAATAAAAAGGTTCTATATTGTTAAGTATCATTCTCGAGTGAAATCTAAAAAAACAAAATTCTGAATCAAAGTGACTATGAAAAATATGTAACTATTCATTTTCTTTTAATCAAAGAATTTCATACAGGCGCGTAAAGTAGAAAAATGATGATAAAAAACTACTAAATTTTTGTGCGTTTTAATGACCATATAGCCTCTACGATCTATTGCAATGTTAGGGCAATATTTATGCATAATATACAGGGTGAGTCATGAGGAACTGTGCATACTCGTACTACGAATAGAGGCCCCTAAGGAAAACACCTAATGACCATCAGAAATCTTCTTCCCCTCTTTTTCACCTAAGATATAGGGTGATTTATGGGATTTAGCGAAAACATCTTTTGGTCATTACTTTCCAACAACTTTTTCGAATCATCTGAATTTTCCATGAAATATCATATCACTACTCTCTTATCGACTGATTTATCCAGGATCGGGGAAATCCAGGACCGTTCTTGAAAAATTCATCTATTTTAGTTTGAATCATCCTGTATATGGTTTTTTCAAACTGTGACAGGGAATTTTCAATGGTCACAAACAAATATATCAGAAATAAAATATTCAAGAGTATCCTCACATTTTCACTGAATTTATCAGTAAACTATAAATACACACACTGGCACAATTAGGGGAACAAGTGAAATTTACACTAAGTTTGACATCAATTTTTTCTCGAACCGATCACTAGATTGAAATTTGTTTTTCACGAATTGAAGCTTCATTCTTCACGAATACATCTGAGAAATAACCACCTCCAAACGATTCGTCTTTATATCATATACAGGGGAGTGAAGAAAGTACGGATTTTTCGGTATTCTTTAAGACATCCTGTGGAGTGAACCACTGAGAATTGAAACGATTTTCCAACACCAAATTATAGCCCAATCTATCCCGAATATTTCCGTTCTTTATTCATTTTGATATCCCAATTATCCAAGAAAATATAGAGTTTCAAAGAAGAGGTGGATATTGGTATCAATTTTACCACCTCGAAACTCGAACTGGGGAGAACGTGTCGTTTTTCAACTTGTTTTTGTGAGGATTTTTACTTCAAGATGAGAATTGTTCACAGTTTTACCTATCGGTTTACTGTTTAAAGACCCCCATATACGAATACTCTCATGAATATGCAGGGATGATAAAAGTTGCTCCAATGTTCTTTTGGTGAAATGCTATTTTTGTTAATCAATGTTGGCTATTTTGTTAATGTCATTGATTATTGTCAAAGTCAAGCGATTCACAATTCATAAATTTGATTAATGAAAATTCAACGTGAGATATTTGACTCCTACTGATGTGGCGAGGGCTGTAGCATTAATTGAAAATTACCAGTGGGCCAATGTTCTTCCAACATATGAGAGCCGCATCTGCACCAATTCAATAGATGGCAGGGAAATACTATATCGCCGAAGTGAACGAAATGAAATATTTGATTTTACTGCTTCTGTCTCCTATGGCAGAGGTTTAGTCATGGTTAGGTTAGGTTAGTCAAGAAACCACACATTTTCAGATCCAATTTGAGTTTTGAGGTGTAAAATTGATACCAATATCCACCTTTTCTTTGAAACTCTGTATTTTCTTGAATAATTGAGATATCAAGATGAATAAAAAACTAAAATATTCGGAATAGATTGGGCTCCAATTTGGTGTTGAGAAATCGTTTCAATTATCAGTGGTTCAGTCCACAGGATGTCTAAAAAAATACCGAAAAATCCGTACTTTCTTTAAACCCCTGTATATGATGGAAAGACTCATCGTTTGAAGGAAATTATTTCTCAGATCTATTCGTGAAGAATGAAGCTACATTTCGTAAAGAAAAAAATTTGAATCGAGCGATCGGTTCGAAAGAAAATTGATGTCAAACTTAGTGTAAATTTTGCCCGTTCCCCTAATTGTGCCAGTGTGTGTATAAAAAACGAAAGTTTGGCCCAAAAATTATTTATTGAAAAATTAATACTTCGCAACTCGTAAATTCCACGAAATCAAGTAAGATTCACATGTTGATTGCTCTAGCTTTATGTAAATCAACATAATATTCTATTTTTAGGCTAGTAATTCTATTTTTTTGTTGAAGGTAATAATCACCCTGTAGATCTTTTTCGAATCAGTGGATGGGGTATCTGTATAGATGTTAATGGCCATCGATAAATAATTTAATGATTTTAATTCTCAGTTTTATGAAAAAAATCTAGTTTCATTCAGTTATTTTGGTCACTTATTTTCCGTACAGAATTATCTTCCTTTGTTAGTATGTATAGCTTTTGAAAAATTGTAAATCAACCCCCATTTTCTGTTCGACTATCTTCATCAATTTCATTTGAATCGATGACCATTATCATTTAGACTGATACCATATCCATTAATTTGAAAAAGATCTACAGGGTGATTATCACCCTCAACAAAAATATAAAATGACGAAATCCAGGCCTGGAAGTGAAAGAACATGTTTTTCCATTTATTCTTGAAACAAATGAGTTGCGTGAAAGCTTTAGTTCTTGTACAGAACTGTTTCATTTTTTCACATGTCATTTCGGAAACATTTAAGAAATATCATCTTCAGCTCCATTAGGTTGTAGAAGCCACTGGTTGAGTTTGGCAGGCTGAGTTCATGACATCTTGTAAACAAGAGGTGATTGCATAAAAAAAAGTGTGAATTCAGAGAAAAAATTCTGAACTCAGAGCAAAAAAAGTTCGAATTCATTCATGATATAAAATAAACACGACCGTGGCCTTTGAACACTTTCGTATACCTGCTTTTGGCCGTGAGTTTTGGTGGTGAGGTTATGGTCGGCGATTCCTTGAACTCGCTGAAGTCTTCCATGCGTTTCGATAGGTCCTCGAAGTTCCTGTGTCTGGGTAGGGGAGATAGTCCCAACTCATCGTGGTACTTTCTGGTCAACGATGGGCTCCCATAGTCTACTTGCGAGGACGCGGTAGACCTGCACGGAAAGAAATGGTTTCTTGTTGCCCTGATCCCTTTTTTTTTTCTTTAGTTCATTCATAGGAACTGCCACTGGTTTTAAAATACCCAATATATGAACTGAAGTACTATTCCTTGGGTTGGGAAAATACGAGAGAAGTTCTTATGAACAGGAAATATGTCTTAAAATGCTCCGTTTTTGACATAGATTCGAAAAATCATTCGTATCAAATATGTAAACAATGCTTCGGTATGAGTATTCGAATGCCATTCTCCCGGTCCGGGTGCCCACGATTAGGTTCCCCAGTATTTTTGAACTGAATCAATTTTTTGGATCCGGATTCATCTTGTATAGTAACGATTTGTTTTCGAGAAATAATTGAAAACCAAGAATTTGCTCGATGAAAAGATAGTCAGAACAAAATGGTATTTTACTAGACTCTTTCTTCATGGGATATCCTGTAATGTTCAGAGAACATCGTGAGAACTAAGAGAAATTAGGAAGAAATTGGTGTTCTTCTTAAATTTCTAGAGGTTATCTGCCTCGAGGAACACTTTCCTTGGCAATGTGTTCCAGAGCCGCGGTGTTCGTTGGATGAACGAGTCTTTGGGAAGAGATGTTCTGTAAGTCTCCAAAGTGACCACGAAGGGGTGCGGAGCCTCAATTCGACGGATTAATGTCGCGGGGACTTCCAAGGGAGAAACAATTGTTGATATTTCAGGAGAGCATCGTCCATTAAAATGTCTTCGAAGGTATGGTTACTCCTGACAAGCTTATGTTGGGCACAGTGAGATCGGCTTTTCTAGAGAAAAAGCATGCTTGTGTTTTGTTTGCATTGAAATCTACCAAGTTATTGGATCCCCATTTGAGAATTGTTGTCATGCAAATATCTATAAAATAGAGCCAGATCGCCAAATTTTCTACGGTGTTCCAGAGAAGTGAAAGCAGCTGACTGGAAGTGAAATAGTTCCTGGCCCGAAACAAAAAAACATTTTTTGGGGTGCACTACTAGCAATTGATCTAACGTGATTTTCCCAAGAAAGGTTATTGCTGGTAGTGATACCAAGCATCGAAATCGATGTCTTCATAGGTATGGTTACTCCTGACAAGCTCATGTTGGGCACAGTGAGAACGGTTTTGTTTGCATTGAAATCTACCAAGTTATTGGATCCCCATTCGAGAATTGTTGCCAAGTCCATATTTATGTCAACTTTTCTCACTCGTTTGTTTCTGATTTGTCTGGCTGATATTGGAGCCTTGGAAGAGAAGGCGGTATGGAGGGTACTATCATCCGCGAAGCTGTGTACTGAACATGAAGTTGCTTCAAACAAATCGTTGATATGGAGTAGAAATAGTGTTTGCACTAGAATTGATCCTTGCGGAACACCAGCATTTATGATAAGAGAGTCAGATGAAAGTCCATCGGCCACTACATGGAGAGACCTGTATGGGAGTAAACTAGTTAGCAGAGAACATAGCTGGGGAGACAAGCCATAAGATGGAAGCTTGACGAGGAGTCCGTGGTGCCAGACTCGATCGAATACCTTGGACATATCCAGTGCCACGGCTAAGGTTTCACCATATTTTTCAATAGATTGCTGCCATATATGTGAGACGTAAGCGAGCAGGTCCCCAGTTGATCCCTGATGACGGAAGCCATATTGCCGTTCGTTGATAATACCTGAATGTTCTAGGTATTTCATGAGCTCGATGTTGATAACTATCTCCATGATCTTAGAAATAATAGATAGCAGTGCGATCGGTCTGTAGTCGTATTTCACGAAGCATTAAAAGCATTAAATACAAATGAACAAGCCATATTAAAACCGAATCATGTCATTCTGACATCTACAACTATTCAATGTCAATCTGAAATACTCTTCTTTGCAGTCCATGGTTACATCGTTGAAAACACCAACGCTGATGAACCGATTAGAATTGACAGACAACTAGTGTTTTCGCGATAATACAAGTTGTATTTGGCTTGCGATTGGTCAGATACTCGGTCAGATATTATGTTAGAATTTAATAGCAGAACAATTTTGTTGAACTTCAAGCAACCCCCTCCTAATCTCGAAAACGAAGCATTTTCAGACATACGTTCATAAGGCCCTTTTCTCATGTTCCCACCAGAGGAATCCAACCACGAGGGGAAAATCTCCTTGTGAGTCTGGTGTATAGCTCATTGGAAGTCACTGGAAGTCATCGATAATTATTGGTAGTCACTGAGAGACGATCTGGAAGTCATTCCTATTCGAAGACTCCGAAAGTCAGTGGTAGTCATCGGTATTTCCTGGAAGACTTTGATAGCCGATATACGTCGTTAGTAGTCAACGAAAGTATTTTGTAATCAATGGAATTATTTGGTAGTCAATGAAGGTATTTGGTAATCAATTGAATCTTTGGTAGTATTGAAGTCATCGGTAGTCCGGAAGTATTTGGTAGTCACTGAAGGTCTTTGATAGTCGATGGAAGTCTTCAGTTCTTATTGATAGTCATAGGTAGTCAATGAAGTCCATTGAAAATCGATGTAAGACTTTGGTTCTTACTTCTACTCGGAGATTGAAATAATCCTATATTTTTATTTTATTGAAACGAGAGAAAATCACAAAAATCAGGAATAATGAATATACCACTTTCCCTATTAATCTACAGACAGTATTCTTCAGGAGTCATTAGTAGTCAATGGAAGCCTGGTAGTCGATGGATGTCTTTGGCAGTCAATGGAAGTAATTGGTAATCTATAGAATTCTTTGGTAGTTTGGAAGTCCTAGTAGTAGGGAAGCCTTTGGTAGTCATTTAGTGTCTTCCGTAGTCAATAAAAGTCTTTTGTTGTCAATAGAAGTTCAATTGTCGATGTAAGTCTCACTAGTTGTTAATTATTCCCATTAGAAGTCACTGAAAGTCTTTGGTAGTCACTGACACTCATTGGAAGTCAGTGATGGATGTCAATGAACCTCTTAGAGAGTTATTGATTGGTGGTCAATGGAAGTCTTGTGTAGTCAATGGAAAACTTGAGTAGTTACTGATATTCATGTAGGGCAATAAATGAATGTTGGTGTACCGATGGCTCCAAAACTTTGGAAGGCGTCAGAACCGGAATATACGAGATGAAGCCAGTAGTGAAACGCTCATTCAGTATGGGTAAACTACGAGGTAAACTAGTTACGGTAGTAACACTGAAAGCAATTGAATCCGACTGCTTCAAATCCAGAGCAGTATGGAACTGCAGAGAAACCTTAAACCGACTGGCACAACGCAATAACGTTAACCTAGTCTAGATACCAGGTCACACGGGCCTAGAAGGGAACGAAATAGCGGACGTCCTAGCAAAAGGAGGGACCGAAACATCGTTCACTGGGCCACAACCGGTAATCGGTATAGCACAAAGCACTGCCAAGAATGTTATAACATCCTAAGCCGACTACAAAAGACTCGAGTATTGGCGTAGTCTACCGGGCCTAGCCCATTCCAAAGCATTCATTGCTTGTACAAGGAACAAACAGGACTCTGACAAACTATCTAGAACTCAGTAGAGCACATCTCAGAGTTATAGTAGGTTTGCTCACTGGCCACTGCAAACACAAACACCACATGCACAAAATCTGACTTGCACAAGATGTAGAGTGCCGTCTATGCATGGAGGAGGATGAAACGGCTAAACACATTTCATGTACATACATGCCCTGCAGCGGCCAGAATCAGATTTTCAACATTTGGCAATACAACAGTAGGGCCAGAAAACCTGATGAATTGTTCTCCCAACATACTCCTTAATTTCGCCAAGAGATTAGATATACTGGGAGAAATATAACCATAGGGTGAGCCACAACGACCTAGGAGTCATTTTCAACAAGAAACTAACTGTGTCCCATCAGGTGGCAGCAGCTGTCCGTAAGGCAAACAGTCGCACATACCTCCTCAACAAATGCTTTGATCATCCTGAACCAAGACTCTTCAATCAGATCATGAAAATCATCCATTTTCTCAAAGTGGTCCACAGTATTTTCAAGAAGAAAAAAACTAGGTGCTCAAAGTCGGTCGACCACACTTCATATAATAGTAGTAACTAAGATTTTACATATGTAACCGGTTTCGGCGCTACGGCCATCATCAGACAAATACTAAGTACCTAAAAGTTTAAAAAACGAAGACAATCAAATGTGAATGAAGACTATAAATTCAACATACCGAACAATACAATTTAAACAAACATCACTGGATAATCAATCATGCCATGGGTTGAGACACGGGCAATAAGTTGATTGGTTTAAATCTAATGAAGAGCCAGAAAAAACTGGCTCTGATAAGGTCAAACATAATCAGAAATCGGAGATAAAAACTACATCATATTAAAAAATTAGTATGAAAATGTCACCACGACCGGCGGCCATAACAATTCGATCAGTCCTATAAGGAACAAGATACATTATAAGCAATTGAAATTTGAAACATTGACGGATGAACACAAAACAATAAAATTAAGTGACAACTGATGTCTCCACAATAGAACAATGGTACCACGAGAAAAAAGAAATAATAGAAGAGCTAGCGGGAAAAAAGAAAAAGAAGAAGAGAGGAGAAGAGTGGTGAAGGAGAACAAGAAAGAAAAAGAAGAATAAGAAGATTGAAAGGAAAATAAAATGAGAAGAGAAATAATTATAAACTGAATCTCAGTGGCGTCAGTGGCGGCGCATAGACTGTGGAATAAAGGGGGGGGCGGGATTATATCAATTTTAAGGTCCTAAAAATATGACTACGTTCAAAGTTAGTTTGATCATTAAGACAAGAAACGTCTTGGTTGTTGATGCATTTCTGAATTTCCATGATTTCAAGCAGGTTTAACCTAGTACCTTTGTCACAAATGTGAAGGATATCTGAATTAATACTAACATCAAAAGAATGGTTAGAGTCAATAATGTGATTGGCAAAAGAAGATGAAGCATTAGGGTCTATCAAAAATTTGTTAATGTATCTTTTATGTTCAGAAAAACGAGTGTCAAAGCTTCTACCTGTTTGACCTATGTAAGCAGCCAGTTTTTTCTGGCTCTTCATTAGATTTAAACCAATCAACTTATTGCCCATGTCTCAACCCATGGCATGATTGATTATCCAGTGATGTTTGTTTAAATTGTATTGTTCGGTATGTTGAATTTATAGTCTTCATTCACATTTGATTGTCTTCGTTTTTTAAACTTTTAGGAACTTAGTATTTGTCTGATGATGGCCGTAGCGCCGAAACCGGTTACATATGTAAAATGTTAGTTACTACTATTATATGAAGTGTGGTCGACCGACTTTGAGCACCTAGTTTTTTTCTTCTTGACTCTTCAATCAGCTTTATAAAGCATATGTTCGTCCACACCGAGGTCCACACCTTGAATATGCTCTCGAATATGCTGTACAGATATGGTCTCCCCATCTGGTGAGAGACATTCAACTTCTGGAAAGAGCCCAACGCAATGCAACACGAATGGTTGAAAGTTTCAGGGATCTCTAGTCTCCTATGAACAACATATGACGTATAGAATTCTGCATGATGACTTCTCTGTTGACCTATCCAACTCATTCCATCTACAGAACGATTATAGATTGAGAGGCCACACCATGAAGTTGAAGCAAGAAAATTTTGGAACCACGCTCAAACAAAAATTTCTATCGAATCGAGTATTTTCAAAGTGGAATGCATTACCTCGTGATGTTGTGTCAGCTCCCAGTGTAAACAGTTTAAAAACCGCTACGACTTGTTGCAATGGCAACAATCATTGTGATTACTGAATTAGGTATTAATTAGTGTATCATCAAAAATGTATTGGACTGGACACAATAATAGTTGTAACTAATTTTGAGTTTGAGTACCTATTGGGCAAAATAGGCTATGCCTCTGCCCTTGTTGAAGCCTGACATGGGCCCACTCACGTTCAAACCTAACCTAACCTACTGATATTCATTGTTCATCAATAGAAGTCTTTGATGATCTGAGGAAGTCTTTGGTTGTTACTCATAGTCATTAGTAGTCACTGACAGGTCTTGGGTTGTCACTGGAACTCATTGGAAGTCAATAATGGAAGTATTTGGTATTCAATGAAAGTCTTTAGGAGTCACTGACAGTCAGTGGTATTCTCTGGAAGATTCATGGAGACTTTCCCCTCGTCTAATCACCATCACTTTTACCTAGCCATTTCTTTCTGAGCACGCCTGGGTGGCACAGGAGACAGCCCCAACTCCTCAGCAAACCTCCTTCTTCCACCCACGAAACCAACATGCTCCCCCTGGTGATGCACAGGCGCAGTGCACCTGCTCAGCACCGGTGATCTTTCATATTCTGATCCTCGCGTCGTGCTGAGGATCCGGCGGTACCCGAACCCGCCTAGCGTCTGCAGATCGAACCGTGACGTCATCATGATGTTGGCCATGGGCGGAGGCGCGGGCAACGGGATGTCCGGCAGACAGACTGGGCTGCGCGTGGCGTGCTTGATTTTTGAGGGGGGCGTAACGTCGGGACGGTCGGGGGGGTTCATTTCGAGGGGGAATGGTTTGGTCATCAATGTTTGGTGGTAGCGAGTGGGGGTAGATGGTGAGTTTGTTGATCGAAGTCACTAGATGTCATCAGGATATTTTTTGTCAGAGTAGCTCAGATTTTTGTGCATTGATTTGGAGAGGTGATCAAAACTTAGGCATAGGGCGTTGGAGTTTGATTACAAATGAACTGTATTTTTTGCATTTCAAGCAAAAAAAAATTATATTTTCACCGTTATTTACTGAGTATTTTGCCGAATGAGTATACAGGGTATCCAGAAACGTGATGTCGTTAATGATAAGGCTGATAGAGGGCAAAAAATAATGTCTATAGCACCTTGTTACGGAGTTATTGACCTTTGAAGTTTCTGCAAGTCCATACATATGCATACTCATCATTACTAAACTCATCCATGGTCTTACCAAAGTATTAAATACTGTCATAATAATTTGATGTCAGTTATGTCAATGACTGCAACTACCATGATGTTATTGAATAAATTGAGTTTTTATTACCTCTGAAACAGTTGCTCGGTTTGGGATGTATGTTTTCGACATGCTAATTCCTCTAGTACGGTACAAGACATTGATTGCAATGAAGAATACAATTATTGTATTGTAGATGCATGAATCAAACGGTGGAATCATGTAAAATTTGTCTGCTCTGTCAGAAATGCCTCCATTACATCGAAAATATTCATCCCATCATGTATAAAACATAATCACGGAACAGCCGTTTATACAGTGTGACCCACTTCTAATGAAAACACCCCTGTATCCTTCGTAATCGTTGTGTAAGGATCCTGAAATTTGCGCGAGATATACAAAAAATGCACTCTATGACCAAGTGGGGTCATCTTCAGTGAATTGGGCGTCCTGATTCCGAATCTGAAGTGATTTTCATCCTATTTTAACTCCTAATATCATTTTCTGGAAATTGGGATCGTTCCATGGCTGTTGGCGAGCAGTGTATATCACTGAAGATGACCCCCCTTGGTCATAGAGTTCATTTTTGGTATATTTCTCGCTCCAGCAAGTTTCAGGATCCTCACCCAACGATTACTTAAGATACAGGTGTGTTTCCATTCGAAGTGGGTAACACTGTATATGGAAAGGAGCATTAGTATGAATTAATTCATTTGCCGAAATATCATTGATACCAAGGCAACCGTTTGAAAGTTATACAATATAAAATATATTTTTTTATGCAAAGTCAATAACTCCGTAACGACATTTTTTGTATATGAAGTACTGACATCATTTTGGCTCAATCTATCAGACCTATCATTCATGACATAAACTTTTCGGACACACTGTATATTTTGTGAATATGAATAAATATTTTCGAATAGAAGATATTGGTCTTTTAAAATGAAAATTATAATTTTTTTCGATTTTATTGCTCATGATTTGGTACCTACTTTGATACACAAGCCACTTTTTTGGTATTGATGTTCACTTAATGTTTTTGTTATTCAAGTTAAGTAGTGTTATTTTCATATAGAGGATGACAGAAGACACGTCATGTCAACATAAATAGTATGAGACGAAATTATTTACAAGAATCCATACGGCTAGCATATCTCTTTTCAAGAAATAAATAGCACGCCACTGGATATCTTTGGGGATATCAGTATTCCGATAAATTACTCATTGAATTCATGATGGATTCCAAAGTTCTTTAATAAATTTTCTTTCATTTTGGGATTCAACAGCTCTGAAATTAATGTACAAAAATCTGGACCACTCTGTGTAGTAAGTAATACAGTTGATAATGCTCGTGATAATGTATTTCTCCTTTTACAATTTTTTCAAAATATGATGTTTCATTTCTATCTTTGAAACTCAAATTGGGTGAATGAATACATTTCTCTTACATGGAATATTTCTTATTGAAAACGAGATTGAAAATCTCTTATTCGTTATAATTTGGCAAGTAAATTGGCTCGTAAATTGGATTATAAATTTCCAAATATTTCAAGACTAATTATAATTGAATCGTACCAAACAGTTTTATAACTTTTCCTCGCATTTTTTCTCATTCCACCTGATCTCAGATCATCAGTGATTTTTTATTGACACAATTTCCAACCAATTATGTGCCATAAAGGGCAATAAACCTTTAATAGCGTTCTCATAGCGTCATTAAATCCTCCGCAAGAAACGATAAAATCAAAAATAGCCGACAATAAAATGGAGACGTCAAAATTTTAACATTTCCACCAGCATGGGCATTTCCATGTTCAGAAAAACTCGAAAACAACAATTACAAATATGTAGACCAGTCCTGAAGCCGTTGAAAATAGTGGAAAGTGAAGATTATTGGGAATTCTGAGAAAGTTATAGAATATTGAGGAGGTTCGAGAAAATCAATCAAGTACCAGAAAGTTCCATGAAGTTTATAAAAAATATGTAATTTGAGGTTTTCTGGGAAAATGTTTGTGAAAATCGATACAGTCCGAATATACAGGAAGCAACTAGATTCAAAATTAACTTGAAAAAATATCTGCTTCAAAGACTTTGATAATTCCATTTCTTATTTGAATACCTACTTACAAAAGACAAGGTTGATATTGCATGATTATTTGTATTTGTTTTTTTACTTGTTATATCTTTTTATAATTTCATAATTGTATGTATAACAATATGTATATTGTTTATGTATCCCTATTATAAAAAACTATGTTTCTTGGGGTAATAAAGACGCAATCAATCAATCAATCAAATGGGGAATTCGAGGAATTCTGCGAAGAAGTTTGTGAAAGTCGATGAAGTCCTGGATATATCAGTTTGGAAAGTTCGAAGAAATTCAGAAATTTCGAAGAAGTTTGAGATTGAGAAAATTGAGGAGGTTCGAGAAAATCGAGAGTTATAAAACATTTTGAAATTTTGTGGAAATTTGAGGAATTTCCTCGGGAATTCAGTAAATAACTTTTTCTACAAACGTCAAAAAATGACAAGGTTCGCGCATTGATAACAAATTGCGAAGTGACACTTTTTTCAGTTTCCTACGTTACCATGATATTTTGCACAAAACAATGCGCGAAGTAAAACAGTGCGCGAAGTACCTACTTCGCGCATTGTTATGTAAAATATATTAGATATTTATATTTCAACTTCATGGTCCTGAATCGATCAAATATCCACGAAATCCTTTATTTCTCAATGTTCAACAATAACTTTGTTCTATCTCTTGGAGCGCACGAAAGGAAATTCCTATTATGTTCGTGGAACATCAGGCGTACCTAGGGAGGATAGGGGGAGGCCTTTTAAGCCAGTTCAACACGATTTTTTATATCAATTTAAGCATATGTTTACCTCAGAATTATATTTTTTGACGTTTGTAGAAAAAATTTTGTTTGCAACTCGAGCGCGAAATACTTTGGTCATCTCGACTATTTTTTTAACTCGGCTACGCCTCGTTAAAAAAATCTGATCTCGATCACCAAAGTAGCATTTCGCGCTCTAGATACAAAAATAACTTTGTATAAGAATTTATGAAGTTCTGAAATTTTAAACGAAGTTTGGGAACCTTTGGGAAGTCGAGAGGAAAGCTTCCGAGGAAACCTCGAAGATTATTGGGAATTTTCAATAAGTTTGAGAACATTGAGGAAGTTTGAGAAAATCGGTACCAGAAAGTTCCATGAAGTTTATAAAAAAATATGGAATTTGAGGGATCCGGGGAAAATATTTGTGAAAATCGATACAGTCCGAAAATGTGAGAGGAACTTTGTGGATTTCAAAGAAGTTTGAGGATCTTGGAGGAATTAGGTATCTACGAGGCTATCTACTTGTAACGGTAGTCGAGCTCCCAAAAGTGAATTGCTAACTTAAATGACACCTTGAATATAAGGAAACTGGATCCAATGCCCAATGTTTATCAATGCGATCAGAAGAGTGAGGCCACCTATTAGTAAGTTAATATCGATGAAACCCTAGACGACAATGCCTATATCAGTTTTCGGGTGTCCTTCCGCCATGTTAAATACGATCGTCAGCTTATAAAATTGATGGGAACACCAGACTGGAACACCGATAATGACAGTTTTAACAACTTTTGCTTTGCACACTGAGGAAATAGTCTCGGGAGCCAGTCACTACATTCATCTAATAATCGTTAATAATACAACTACCAAATTGTTTAATATACTATACTATCACAGTGAAAAATTTTCGCGTGTTATTTCAACCGAGTGGATTTCAGAAATAACTCCGATTGAATCAACACTTGATTAGCAATATCATACCAATATTATTAGATATTTGATAATACCATGAAATTATCACCTAGTTACACCCTCACCAATCACAAACAAATCAGAACCGTGTATGAATTATGAGATTTGGGGCTAATATAGTTCCCTCATCGTCTTTCATTCTCCCATGTGAATGAATAATGTTGCTGATAATGAAATTACCCCCTGAAAAACCGGAACTCATTGAAGAATGGATAAACATTGTGTAGGTATATCATCATCTACGAATTCTGGTATCCAGATTGACAGGTGACAATAAGAACGGATGATTTCGTGAAAATAATGCAATAAATAAATTTAAAGCTGATTCATAAATTATACCTATATGATGATTTTTATATTGCGAAGCGATATAGAGTACATATATCGAACCAGATTGAACATGAAATTGAATATCAAAGTAGAAATTTTGTGCACAGAAAAATATTTAGTAAATATTCGCTCGTTTCTCGACAGCCTACAAATAGTATCAGTTCAGAGATGTTTTGTAAGTCACAACTCTCACGACATTGGATCATTTTATACACTGAATACTAATGTTAGTTAGTTTTCACAACAGAAAAATATTCACATATTATCATAATATCATCAGTAAAAGCAAAAACGCAACAAATACAGTGTCAAAATAATCACCAAATGATTGTACATCAGTCACCACTTTGGTGTTCGTGTTCAATAACACGAATTGATCAAATTAGCTCTAGATACTCTAGTGTAGTTCTTGACTGTATGTGAGAACGAATGAC